TGTCTTTTAGCCAACTACTTATAACTTTGTTTTTAAAAATAGCACTCGGAATTTGTGCACTACTTGAGAATTGACAAAACGCCCATCCCATTAAACTCCAAGCTCGGTTAGGGCAGGGGTCTCGTGGGCTGTGCTCACTTTCGTGTACCACGTAGACTCACAAGGGACGTCTGAGGGAATAAATGTATATTACATTTTCATGACAATGTGTCAGGAAACAGATGTTGTCGTCTCTCCACCTCCCACCGTAGGCAGTTGTCTGAGCCGTGACCTGGGCTGTCTGCGATCATACAGGTAGTGTATCAGAAAGCCAGAATTTAGGTCCTAGTTGTTCTTTCTGACACCTCAGGGAACTTAACAGTAGTTATCAACCATTAATGTTAATAATATTAAAATTAGAATGAAATGTAGTGGGACGAGAAGCAACATATACCACCAAAATTGACTACAATATGGTCCCTTTGTCACTGTCACTGTGACCTTTTGAAAATAGTGCTATAACCAAACATCGGATTCTGGTCCTGCTCTCAGGCACCGCGGCTGGGGTCCTTTGAAGCCTCCTGAACCCCCCACGAGGCCTCAGCCACGGTGGCAGCAGACGTGTGCTCGGCTCTCCTCTGCAGCTCCAGGTCTTCCCTGGTGTCACCCTCTTTATCTGACCTTTGCTTGAAGGGAAAGGCCACAGGTGAGACCCAGCCTCATGTTCCCAAGCCCCATTCTGGCCTCAGTCAGCTCCCAGCATTGGGATCTCCGTGCTTTTGCCGTGGCTTCCACATTTCGCTTCTTCCAGTCAGAACAGCACATCACTCCTGCTGGCCAGCTGTGTCTGCCATCATTGCCACGTGTAGTGGGTCCAGGTGGCCCCAGCATCTGTCCTGCCACAGGCTGTAATAGGCACAGGTTTTGGAAAGAGCCAGTGTCCTTCCATAGTTGGATTTTGAGCAGCATTTTAAAACAGAAAACTCCATAGGCAGTTAAAGCCAAGAGGTCTATCAGAGCATCATGTCTTCAAGTATCACTGTGGACCTCTGAGAGCGTGCAGGAGGGCGGTGGGCAGGGAAGGCCAGGAGGCCGCCACTCAGCTGCAGATGGAGAGAGCAGACAAAGGAACCCAAGCTCTCAGCTGGGAGGCCACACACATCGGATCACTTTCCTGTCCACGGCCACTGACACCATCTTGGCCCTTTGCCCTGGCTTTCCCCACCCTCCCCAAATACTATTCTGTAACTATTTAAGAACCTCACAAAATAAAGACAGCAACTAAACGTTTCACAGATTATGTTACATTGGAGTGCAAAGACTTTTTTCACAGTATAAAACCCTTTCCTATAGCCATCCTGCACATATTTGCTCCACTCAACTTAGACACACGTATGAACACCAGTAAATAACGGCTGAACTTGTAGTAACTAAGCACGTTGGGGTCTTATATGTATAGGGCACATACACATATTCTACCTGAAGGGTCCAGTGCCTGACTGCTTCTGACGTGTGCCTAATGCCGTTCACTGTGTACAGCTCAATAAATTTATGTTGAATAGTAACTTTTAGCCATTCCCTTAGAACTAGCAACAATTTCAACCCACTAGGCAAAAAAAAAAAAAAAAACCT